CACAGACTACAATGTGAAAGCCATGCACACACTATAATGTTAGGGTAACAGCAGTAATAATTTAAGACTCAATTACTTGCATCAAATTACCTTTTTATGGTTTACCTGCCAAAGATGCTCTTGACTTGGCTTCTTATAACACAGTAACTCCAAACAAAAATAAAACAAGGGAAGGGCTACTTTTCAAAAAAAAAAAATTAAAACAAAAATGCCCAGCTGGTCATCGTGTGTAGACTCAGTGAACTGGGTTTGGGTGGAACTCATGACCCCATCTAATTATCGTGCTCATGGCCAAGTCATCTGAGGTCTGGATTTCATTTTCCTTCAACAGTACCTGTGTTTTTCCCCACAAATGGAAGAAGTGTCAGTCAGGATTTGACTGCCTATAGAGTGATGTCATAACACCAAATTGCTGAGAAACAAAATAATGTCTTAAGAATCCACACTCCTCATTGTCCAGGTATATACAATTTAGAAAAGATAGTAACACTAGAATAGTCTTAGTAGTAGAGGCATTTTGAGATTTCAGGGTCAACCAATATTCTAGTTATTTGGGTCAACATTCTTCCTACCCCAAAGTTACAGTCTTTAAAAAATAAGAAAGTATTTTTATGACATGGCAACATTCTGGCATTGATTCTATCAGTTACTACACTCCTTCCCAGCAGAACGTAAAATGCTTTGTTTGTCAGGCAGTTTAAAGACAATATAGGGAAAAATTGCCCCAGTTCTTTGAAAGATCCTGTTTTATAGGGGTGAATTTTATAAAAACATATCTGAAAAGCATGACTAGGAATCAGATGAATCTACAACCACAAGCATTTTTACTTTTATAATCAATGCAAAAAAAAAAAAAAAAATAGCAACTTCTGTGTTTACAGGACATATGGAATCTGATCACGTTCATTTCAAGGGTACTTTCTTAATACTAGTGAAAGCTAACATTTTATAGTGGTAATGTGACCATATAACTTATCCAAGCTGGGGCACTTCTGAAAATGAAAGGCGATGTTATTAGTAACTGCTCTGGGATAAAAGATATTAACCAGAAAATGGGTTTTATGGTCATATAACTTTACAGTAAAAATAAATTGGCAATCAAGATGGTAAATTTTATGATATGTGTTTTTTAACACAAAACATACACACACAAATTGGCAAGTAGTTCTTATAAAACGAAAATCTGTATTTTCCCCCTAATAAGATATTCACTTAATTTTTTGTCTTGAAAGCTAGCATCCAAATTCAATGGAATATTTTTTTTTAAGGCTGAAAATTTATCAAGTACCACATGAAGTCCTGTAACTTGAGCTCTTAAAAGTTACACATGGTGAGATAAGAGTTCAAATGTTGGCATTCCCATTCCAGGGAGCATATATATTTAGAATACATTTTAAAAGGGCTGAAATCTCACTAAATTAACAGAAATGGCATGGAAGAAATACACAGTTTCTTCTGATCTTGGGAAAGTCACTCATGCTTAATTATTACAACTGTGACATACAATGCTTGGATATTTTTCTTTTTTTTAAATCCTCACCCAAGGATATACTTTTATTGATTTTTTAGAGAGCGGGAGAGAGAGAAACATCAATGTGAGAAAGAAACATCAACAGATGGCCTCCTATACCAGCCCAGACTGGGGATCAAACCTGCAACCTAGGCATGTGCCCTGATTGGGAATTGAACCTGCAACCTTTTGGTGTACGGGACGGGACAAAGTTCCAACTAACTGAGCCACTGAGCCAGGGTAGAGTGCTTGGGTCTTATACTTTGATGTACACTACGAGAGAAATTCTGTTAGTGGAAAGTGACATTTAGAGGACTCCCAAAATAAGGGATAATTTATGAGGTGATCCTGAAATATACTCCAGTCCTTTTCAAGCACAGGAAATAATTTCTTCCATGGTAGGCATGAGAGTAAATCACTATAGGGAATCACAGCAACTTTTAAGAACTCCAAGAATCTTAACAACAGTACCACCAGGGGGCACTACAGGCCAAAAAGGAGCAAAGTTGTTCTACCCAGGATGGATGAGCCAACATTACAAACCATCCTTACATCTGTCTCCCTATGGACAAATCTCAGTCCTCACATACACTTCGTTTCCCCAGCCATGGGCCTGTGCCTAATGGCATATTTCTGGCTTTTCTGAGAATTTTTTCTCCTGAATGTCTGCCATCCTCCCTGGCCACCAAGCCTACCATTTCCATTCACGGTCTCCCTCATGCACACCTCCCTTCCTCCATGCAGACAGCTGCCGGCCCTGCTCCGTCTTCTACCGTCACATACTTCCTACCCAAGTCTCTCACAATTGACCTCTTCCAACACGATCACCAAGATTTTAAATCAATTATTCCCCAAATGAAACATTTATATAAAGCCTGTAAATAGTAATAGGGATAAGAATTATAATTTAAGTTTGCTTCAAATTAATTTATCTCTAAAATGTGATTTAGTCCCATACCTCCAACTTAAAAAAAAAAAAAAAGACCGTCAAAAGAAAGGTTAAATGAAGTCTGAGGACTAAAGCCTAGTAATATTTCTCAGAGATTCCAGTAAATTCATTTCTGCCCCAGTGGTCAAAGCACCTTAGAAAATGACCTTATTTGGAAATTGGGTCTTTATAGAGGTAACCAAGTCACAATGAGGTCATTGGGGTAGGCACTAGCCCAATACTATTGATGTCCTTATAAAAAGGGGAAATTTGGACAAAAATGGAGATATAAACAGGGAGAATGCCAAGTGAAGAGAGGGTTGCAGTGATGGATCTACAAACCAAGGAACCAAAGATTTCTAGCAAACACCAGAAGCTACAAGAGGTAAGAAAAGACTCTCTCCTAAAGCCACTAGAGAGAGCATGACCCTGCCAACACCCTCATTTAGGACTTCTAGCCCACCAAACTGTGAGAAAATTACTATCTGTTGTTCTAAGTCACACAGTTTTTGGTGCTTCATTACAGCAGCAATAGGAAACTAATACAGGTATATACCTAGGAGTGGAACTGCTGGATCCAATGGTAACTATATTTAACCTGTTGAAGAACTGCCAGACTGTTTTCCAAAGCAACTATACCATTTGATTGTCTCTTAATAAATTAGTAATGGTTTCAAAACCTTTCTCAATATAGAAAGTAAAATTTTCTGTATGTAACCTTGCCTTCCGTAGGTAATTCTCCCTCCATCCCCACCGTGATGACAGTCTTCTTTGCCACCATTTGTTAAACCATTCTATTTCCTTCAAAAAAAGAACAGTAACAAATAGTTAAATCATCAAGGCAGTAACAGGAGGGGGCACTCGAATGAGCTATGGTTGGGTACAGGATAATCTTAAAGACATCTAAATCTGAAGATAGTACAGTAGATGGTACTGAACAGCAGGAGATTGTCTTCAAAGGGAGGATTTCCTAGCTAAGACAGGGAAGCAAAGAGAATCCTGAAGGAGATAACATTTTCTTTAGGAAAGGGTGTCTGGCCACAAAGAGAGCTAAGTTCCATCTCTGAAAAAAGAAACTGGCATTGTGAGAAAGAGTACATCTTCTAGAAGAAAATATGAAATTCTGAATTTCAGTCTGTTGCTGTCCTAAGAGGAGCCTCAGCTCTTCTTCAAACAATAAAGTACTCTAGTCCAATAATGATGAAGTTACATATCACTTAATCAAGCATTTGACTATTCTGAACCAGGAAGAATAGAACCCTTTATATAGTTGAGTAAATAAGATATATATACACACACATACAGATAGAGCGCCATGTCTAGCCAATAAAGTTTTTAATGGCCAATAAAGTCTGCAGATCTTAGATTTCTGCACAACTAATGGACGCAGGTATACAAGTAATGATCTGGCTGTTGGCCAGGTTATAAAAATTAGGGCTAAAAAACACATGCTAAAAAGTTTACAGTAAAATCTCATAAAGATCACTTTATTTTGTTACAAATAACCTATTTTCACTTACTTCACATACGAGGTTAACCCTTTCAATTTTCACAGCCCCATACAGAAAAGTAAAGCAGAATGGGAAAGGAATGTTCAAGAAACGCATTCTAATATCAGTAAACTAACTGCTGACAGTGACGACAGACAGGAAAACACCAGACAAAGCAGATCAGTCAAAAAGCACAGCCAGCTGGGATTATTTAGTGAAGGGAGAAAGGGGGATGAGAAATGCCCTGAAAATGTCACAGTGCAATCACTGATGCCCAAAACTGGTGAGCTTGCGCCTTCAAGAGAGTTCACTTAGTTCATGTTCCTTAAGAAACAGGTAACAATACAGTACATTTGACAATAGATTTAGAATACAACATTAAGCAGTACTGAGGGTACTGATTATCTCCAATCAGGCATTTTTATTCCTCCCCTTCCTCCAACTTTCTCCCAAAGACTAAGCCTGATCTGGAAAGAGAGTAGCAGAACAAAAGAACTGTTCAAGACACCTAGGTCTGAAAACACAGCAACGATTGTTCAAAGTTGGAAGAACGTGAGGAAAACTGAAGTCTAGATCATTTTACTTATCTTGAAAGACTCAGATAAGTTTACTTTGAGTAACATTTCTACAGAAATGTCTTCCCTCCCTAGTCTCCTTTTATCTTTCTACAACAAAGCTTTAGTTCCAGGTTCTCAAAATGGAGAACCCCAAGCAGCAGTATCAATAACATCACCTGAAATGCAAATTCTCAGGCTGGGGTCCCAGGCCTTCAGATTCAGAAACTCCGAGGGCAAGACCAGCAATCTGCGGTAGACCAAGCTCTCCCTCCAAGTGATTCTGTTGTTTGCTAAAGTTTGAGAGCCACTGCTCCAGGTAATATGAATGGAAAAGGCAGAGAATGTCTTACTTATAGAACTAAATGATTCTTAAAAGACGGAAGTGACAAAAGAGACTAGAGAAGGAAAGTCTCTTACATAAACTGTGCATTATTGGCTTAGAAACCATGTCCTTTCTATTTAAGCCCAACTATAACATTGGCAACCTCTAATAAGTAGTAGCATAAAGATGGTACCTTCCAGATGTTTCAGGAGTGCCCTACTGCTATTTCCATGAGCAGATATCAGAATGGTTTTGCCGCGTAACACTTCAGGCGCAATCCTTTCATTCCAAAAGGGAAGGAGTCTCTCCAGGACATCCTTTAAGCTTTCAGACCGTGGCAGTTGATCCACAGGTACATCGCACACTTTATACCTCCGGTCATTGTAGATTTCGTGGTAGTAAGGATGAGACTCCTCGATGGGTGGCGGGGTCACATTGTAGCTTCTTCTCCAGATCCTCACTTGCTCTTCGCCATGGTTCAAAGCCATCTTCTCCCTATTGAGGCCTATCAAGGCTCCATAGTGGCGCTCATTCAGACGCCAGGAGCTTTCCACAGGAACCCACTCCTGGCCCAGCTCTTCCAGGATCAGCCAAGCTGTGTGGATGGACCGATTAAGGATGGAGGTAAACACAAGATCAAACTCAAAGTTCAGGGCTTTGAGCTGCTTCCCGCAGTTCCGCGCTTCCTCCAGGCCTTCACTGTTAAGCTTCTGATCCACCCAGCTACAAAAACGATTCTCTTTGTTCCAAGCACCCTCTCCATGTCTTAACATAACCAGTTTGTACTTGGACATACTGATGACTGAGCTTCCCTTGTGCCTTCCAACGGGCCAATGCTCAATGACAGAAATACATCTAGAAAGAGAAGAAACAAAAAGCGTAAGGTACAGTCTTCATTCAGCTGACTACCTGGGAAAGGAAGCACAATGTTACAACAGCCCGTTTCTAAAACAAACTGGGATAATTCCTTTGAACAGTTTTGATATCAGACATCCGGCAACTCGTATACTACGGCACATACAGGCATATTCTGCAGATCATTAATTACAGGGAACCTAGCTGGCTTAAATTTTCCGATGGCGAGATAGTATGTTAATTGCATGATGTGAAATAATGAGAGCACTTCATTCTAATGGCATGCTGCACCTCCGCCAGATCAAAGGCAGTTTATTTACAGAAGAGAGGATTCACCAGAATGATGTGTAGATGTCCACAAAGATGACGAGTAGCTGACTCTAGACTGACGGCATCCTTCTCACTTTGTTTTCCCTCTGGTGGAAAAAGAGTATTTACCAGTCTCACCTTACTGAAGAAGTTAATAAACATGTTAATTCAATGAACCACCGCACTTATCTGGTATATAAATTACTGATTGGTGGCAACCAGCTCTTCAATGCCACAGGCTACACCACATACAAGAAAATCTAAGGTTCAACATTCAAACAACATTAAAAGTCATTTAAAGCGATGTTTACACCAAACATGGTATTCACCTAAATGATCTCTCACCTGCCTCAAAATAGAGCTTTTGCCAGTAATAAATCCGGATGCAAAACAAGCTATCACATGCAAGCAGATGAGAAATGCTGCCTGTAGGAACAGATTAATAGGAGCAGGTTTGTAGGAGTGAGAGGAAGCTCAGTGATAAGGAGGTCCCGTCTCCTCCTCCCAGCCCTTCAGCTATCCTCCCTGCACCGGCCACAGCTCAGCAGGAGAAGACTCTAGAGAAGTGGAACAGGCGACCAAAAGGTGTTCTATACTTGCTAAGTTAAGCTGCTGGCTCAGGGATCTGCTGGGCCCACTCAGTCGCCCAGAGAGTCTGCTGCCTGGCTGCATCCGCCTGCCTTCACGCACCTCGCAGTGGACTTATCTTCACTGACAGATGCTGTTTGGTTTACATGCCCAGCACTCTCCACCTCCACCCCAGCATTTTCCACACTGGGGAGCAAAGATTATATGAACATTGGGGCCTGGTCTTCTGCCATTCTTGGCAACCTCCATTAACTGGAGATTTTCTGTCCCATTTAAACTGTGATTCAGTCACAGTTATATAACCATCAGTGACAAAGTTAATTGGAATCTAGAGCTAGTTTCTTCCTTTCTTTGCTAATTCCTAGAGATCCTGAAGGTGGGAAAAGGGTTTAAAACAAGACTCGGTGGAAGGCGAACAGAGGACGTGAGGAAGGCAAGCAGATTGAGGTGATCTGCAAGTAGTGGAAAGGCTCCAGCAGCTGGGTTTATGATTTCCCTTTCTCGTCAAGCACCAGGTTTGAAGCTTTAGTGCATGTGGAGCAGGGAGAAAAGCATGAGGTCCCTGGAAGAGCCTGAGCTCAGGGCTCAGGTGGAAGGCCCTCACTGAGAATTCCCAGAGGGACAGCGATGCCTCCACCCTCAGCCCAGAGGGGCATCAGGGTGTCAGAAGAACAGAGAATGGGATACGGGCATCTGGGCAGTGTTTGGCTGGGCGACTACTGGCGCCCAGAGCAGAATAATCATGAAGCTAATGAAGTTCAGATGCCCTCACTGGAACAAACTCCCTCTAAAGCACTGGAATATCAAATTATGAGTTCACATTCGATGAGACAGAGAGAAATCTACAAGACAAAGGTATTTTTGTATTGTTTCTTTAAAGAGCCCCAATCCACCAAGTAGTAGAAGCTTTAGGCCCATAAGAAACTGGATCCACCCCTCATAACATTCACTGTCTTGTTTTTTAGTGGTGGTGGAGGAGGGCCATGAAGAAGAGAAGCTATCAACTGTTCCTCTGCCTCAGCCCTTACTTTGTCTTGTTAAGCAAGAAGCCCCCTTACACAACGAGCTGTTTTCCCTTCAGATGAAGAGGGATATGATGCACAAACTCTGTAGGCAGAAGCACCTCTCCATCATCATTTGGTTATGAACTCTACCAAAGGAACAAAAGAATACAGCAATAACATCAGGAACACTCAGGTACCTACCACCAAGCTTTGCGGTATTTTAATCTGCTGCATTTTCTTACTTTGCTTACAGAATAAAACACTTTCTCTGCCCCCACCCTCCCCCAAATAATATACACCGGAACAGAGAAACAATACTACAGCCGCAAAGACTATCCATCACTCTGATGTGCAGGGAGTGAATATAGAGTAAGGTCCCAGGCTAGCGCATCTATCTCTGGTAAACAAAAAAATCACTTCCCTCTCTCCTCCTTGCTGTCAACAGGCTTTTCCCATTTAATTAACTGCTAAATATTTCAAAAGGCGCTGCGGAGGTTTAGAGTTGGCAATCTTTAAGATTTTAATCATCATGGGAGCTGGTATACCAAGTGTTCGCCAACACACACACACCACCAGTCAGTTTGATTTACAGTGTAAGGCATGGCCTGCAAACTCACACGTCCCAATGGCCAGACGGAAGTGTGATGGCCAGAGCAGTGATGCTGGGCTACAGGGGTGGTGGGAACAGTGGTGAGCTGCAGGGAACATACATGCTTCTCTGATGGATGCCACCCTGTGTAAATGGAAGAGGCTTTTGTATAACTTGGTCTCACTGAATTAAGGGTCCATTCTTAGAACTTTTCTGAAGCACTAACGATGGGACTGCTGAAACCGGAGACTGGAGAGAATGCAAGACTCAGAGTCAGACCACAGAGAACCTATGGATTTCATTTTCTGTTTAGCATAAATAAGTGTCTTTAAAAAAAATAAAAATGAACATTTCGGCTCCTAAAAATTTACATAAAAAAATACAAGGAGTAGGTACTACTTAGCTCCAGACCATTTCCCTGTGAGACTGGAGAACTGGTGTTCCTGGATTTTCCCATTGTCAAAAACCCTGGAAATGTGCATTTTCATGTGATATCTGATATAAATACTGGTGACTCATTTGAATACATTTTAAAAATGTGAGCTAAACAGAACATGTCTGTAGGCTAGATTGGGTCTGCTACTGTATGACCTGTGACTTAAAGGAAAATGTCCTCCTGGCCACAGATGAATGGGGAGGCCACCATTCCCCAGGGGATGGTCAGACCCCAAGCCTCCGGGCTCTAACCCTAGCTTTCCTCTGTTATTGTCCAACACACTCTTTCAAAGGACAGACCCTCTAATCCCCACATGTGCTGGGCTTCCTTGTTCCTGACCCTCCTTCACCAAACCCTTTGCCACTGCCCCGCAGAGTCCCAGCTCTGTAATCAAACTCCCACTCAACTTTGGACTCTTCCTGGAATGCTTCCTCCAGCTCTGAGCTGTAACCAAGCTGAAAATGAACTGAATGCAAACTACCTCCCAGTTCCCTGATTCTCTCTTTAGAGTAGGAGGTATTTGTGCCTCATATGCTGGGGCAAGAACAGGGGCAGGTTATAGCTGCCTGCCTCTCAACGGTCCTGTCCCCTCTCAATGGTACTTCCCAACCAAATGCCCCCACCCCACCATCTCTCTTTTTTGGGGGGGCTTTGATTGAGTCTTGCTACATTCAGCTGTAGCTCTCTTGCCCTCTTGTATTAACTGCAAACTTCCTGAATACTGATCACCCCATTTAAAACCCTCATTACTTCCTGTTGATCTGAGGATAGAGAGCAAAATCCTTACTCTGACCCGCAAGGCTTTGGTTTTCTTCATTTCTTTGAGCACGCCATGTTCTTTCTGGCCTCAGGACCTCTGCACATACTACACACAACCCTTGCCCAGCCCATCACTGCTTCCCCTGCACCTCCACTTCCGTCTCACATTTTCAGTGACATCTAGCCATCTTTCAGATCAGCTGTGTCAAAACATAATGCAAGCCACATATGTACTAAAGTTACATTAAAAGTTAAAAAGAAATAGGTGAAATCAAATTTAATAGTACATTTTATTTAACCCTATAGGTACAAAATATTATCATTCCAACATATGATCTATATAAAATTTTTTTTAAATCCTCTAAGATATGCTTTTTATTGATTTTAGAGAGGAAGAGGGAGAGAGAAAGAAACATTGATGTGAGAAACATCGATCAGTTGCCTCTCGTATGCACCCCAACCAGGGATGGAACCCACAACCTAAGTATGTGTCTTGACTGGGAATCGAACCCACAACCTTTTGGTGTATGGGATGATGCTCCAACCAACTGAGCCAGGGCTCAGATAAAATTCTTAATGAGAATTTTACATTCTTCTTTTCACAGTAAGTATTTGAAACCTGGTGTGTATTTTATACTAAAGCACATCTTCAATTTGGACTAGCCACATTTCAAGGGCTCAACAGCCACGTGACCAGTGGCTACTGTACTGAACGGTGCAGCTTTAGAGCTCAGCTTAAATGTTATTTTCTACAGGCCATTGGTTCTCAAATGTGCATCAGAATCAGCAGCAGAATCGGCTGCAACAGACTGCTGAGCATCCTACTTCTAGAGCCTGAGTATGTCTGGGGGGTTGGACCTCTAATCTGCTGCCCGGTGCTGCTGATACTACTGGGTTGAGGACCATGCTTTGAGGACCTCTGCTCTGGGCAGACTTCTCTGCCCTTCCTTCTCGCCCACTGGGAAGTAGTCAGGCCTGCCTGGTATATACTCTTACAGCACCCTGCTTTACAACACTGGGTGCAGTTGCGACGGGTCACTTGTGACCTTTTACTTGTTCGAGGCCTATGAGCCCTGTTAGACAGCAAGCAGCTTCACGGCTGATCTGACTTCTGACTTACTGCCGTTAACTATAGATGCTAGGGTGCCTCTTGACACATACCTAGGTACTTAGTCGGTGTGTCAACGGACTCAAAGTTAGTTAGACAAAAATGATTATATTGTGCTAATGAGGCTGAAGCTTGACAGTTTTAGTGGTAACTGCCAAAGTACAAACAGCCAGTTGGCAGGCCTGAGATGTTCTGAGATGTTAGAAA